TACCAAACATCAGTAAGCGACCACCAAACGAATGCTTACAGCCATTATTGCATTTGCATTTTGCAAAGCCGAGTTTTAGAAATGGGGGGCTAACTTTACGCGCGTATATCATTTTTTTGACATTTCCAGCTATAATTTCGACTACCAATCATCGGGAATGGACTACCAAACGTCAGTAAGCGACCACCAAACGATTGCTTACAGCCATTGTTGCATTTGCAGTCTGCAAAGCCGAGTTTTAGAAATGGGGGGCTAACTTCACACGCATATATCCTTTTTTTGATATTTCCTGCTATAATTTCAACTGCCAATTATCGGGAATGGACTACCAAACGTCAGTAAGCGACCACCAAACGAATGCTTACAGCCATTGTTGCATTTGCAGTCTGCAAAGCCGAGTTTTAGAAATGGGGGGGCTAACTTTGCACGCATATATCCTTTTTTTGACATTTCCGGCTATAATTTCGACTACCAATCGTCGGGAATGGACTACCAAACGTTAATAAGCCACCACCAAACGAATGCTTACAGCCATTATTGCATTTGCAGTCTGCAAAGCCGAGTTTTAAAAATGGGGGGCTAACTTCACACGCATATATCCTTTTTTTGATATTTCCTGCTATAATTTCAACTGCCAATTATCGGGAATGGACTACCAAACGTCAGTAAGCGACCACCAAACGAATGCTTACAGCCATTATTGCATTTGCGTTCTTCAAAACCGAGTTTTAAAAATGGGGAGGCTAACTTCACGCGCGTATATCATTTTTTTGATATTTCCGGTTATAATTTCGACTACCAATCGTCGGGAATGGACTACTAAACGTCAGTAAGCGACCACCAAACGAATGCTTACGGTCATTATTGCATTTGCACTCTGCAAAGCCGAGTTTTAGAAATGGGGGGGGCTAACTTCACGCGCGTTCTTCTTTTTTTGACATTTCTCATTATATCTTTGACTACCAAACGAATGGTCATGGTCATTTTTAGATTTGCAATAGTGGGGGAGCCAACTTCACATAGCCCATCCTTCAAGGACATTTGTATTATAGGACGATCGCACGTAAAGCCGCGTATACGCCTAGCGAACAAACACCGAACGAACAGCGATGCGAACATTCGTTGGTTGCGTTCAGCAGATTTATATCAAAGCAAATGAGAATCGAACATTCGATTCGCGTTCGACTGGGTTCCCTCATGAAGCGGTACATCAAAGAAAAATTCGTGCGCGGTGTAGTGTAAACGTGCAAAAATGAGTGTTCGGCGAATCGCACACGAATTTTTCTTTGATGTACCGCTTCATGAAGGAACCCAGTCGAACGCGAATCGAATGTTCGATTCTCATTTGCTTTGACATAAATCTGCTGAGCGCAACCAACGAATGTTCGAATTCGCTGTTCGTTCGGTGTTCATTCGCTAGATGTATACGCGGCTTAAGAGTTTAGCACATTTAAATCTAGAAACATTGCCGTGTTATCCCATATCTCGTATGTTTCAATCTTTAACAGAGATTTTGCCAGCATTTTAAAAGAAAAAAAATTTTAATGAGATAATCGCAGGGAAGAGCCATGAGTAACGATAAGCGATTCGCACAACGAATTGCGTTACGCAAAAAAGTTACGTACATACTACATGCATAGTACGTGGAGGCGCGCAAGGTTACATCTGACAAGGCTGTAACCAGTATATACACACAGATTTCTATTTCTACACTAGACTGCTAACTCCCTACTTTTCCTTATGTAAAAGTGTTGCCTGCACAAAGTGAATATTTATACAAAAAATAATTAAATTGACGTCACATATAAAGATAGAAAAAGTCAGTATTTTATTAGTCGTGTGATTATTAAAAGTATATCTTGACTATAGTTCGTTATTAGAAAATTGTTAGATCTTTCTTTTTATATTCTGAATACTTTGATTACTGTATAAACAGCAGAAAAATTTTCAGATTCTAATAATCAATAAAAATTTATAAATTAATTGATAATATTGTTTAATTAAAAGAGATACTTTCAATAAATCTTGTGTTCTTACTAACAATTCTTAAATTTGTCCGTTGATACGAAATAATGTTATGACTGAGACGGAAATATGCTATAAGACAAGTGACCTGTCTGTGATAATTAATAGATGCGAATCATTTATACTTAAGAAAAGCGTAAAGGAGATGTTTCTATTAAATTAAAGGTAAGCATAGACAGAATAACCCTATATCGAAGATAAAAGAATCGAAAGTAACAGGCCATAAAGGAAGGAAATTTATTCCCCGGGATAGCCGTGTTATCTTTCACCTATATAGGATATCAACAGCTGACCGTCTAAACGCTGGCAAGCGTATGGTACACAAAGAGGAAACGTGTTACATTTAACACAAATTTTTCATTTGTGTATGCCGCAGTTTTTAATTATCACACGCTTATAAGTGTAACGGCAAATTTACTCTTAATATATAGTGATGGCGATGTGAAAAATTCTTTAAAGACACAAGAAGACGACGTATTCAAATGCGAGGAACACAATAAATGCAGACAATCCGATTCGCACGACCTGGATTTTTTTCATACCACATCGCACGTGTCCTCTATTACATCAATCCGATGTCTTCTCAGGAATTAAGCGATATATAAGTGCTACTTACATAGCTGTTCTCTTAGCTAGGACACAGAATATTACACTGTATTCCACTATGTAAGATATTTGTTGGAACGTAGTTTAGTTTCATAGTGTAACACCAGAATGTATTGTAATCTTCCATTCTTACTCTTATTATATAATTAGAGTATCAATAATAGATTTATAATTTTTATTATGTCTTAAGTTATACAGTTTTCAGAATTGACGGTTTTATTGCTAAATAAGTATGGTAACAAAAAGGGGAAATGTCCCCTGAGAAAATAAAAGTGAATTATTTAATATCTTTATTTGCTCGTTTTCCTAGTCATTCTTTATTATTATTGCTTTTTTATATATAATGTAATTTTAATATTAAAATAAAAAATAAATACTTGAATGTCAAGATGCGTAATTAATGCAGACAATCAAAACAATTAGCCGGATAATTAACTGAACCTCTCTATCGGGCGTTAACTCAAGAAAGTATACGTGCGAGAGGTCGATTACTTTCTATAAACGTTTACTTCCAAACCGTTATACTTCGTTACCACACGCATCCTACCTCGAATCATTGTCATCAGGCGTATTGTGCCGTCATTAGAAAGTGCACGTCGTGTGGAAAGCGTCCACTTTTATCTGATTATCCGGCAATTTGGTTTTACGAGGAGGAAACTGCAAGCGTGCGATTTTTCCACGAGAGAAATTTCGTGACGTGTTTGAAATCAAACGAGGAAGAAAGAAAGAAAAAAAAAAAGAGAATGAAATAGACGCGCAAGAGATATCACGAATTTCTTCCGATTTCGCGTACACAAGATTAATTGATTAGCCTTATAATTAGTTGTCGCCTGTCGCTGAGACAATTAGAAAGTAAGTCTTGTGGTTTATGTATACTCACACGTCAGTGGTTGCTGAAGTATCTGAGCTGCGTGTGTGCTGCTATCGCTGTGCCTCATTATTGTGATCTGAAAATAAGGGAAAGGTGATGTTTTAGATATTTTCTCGCTTAATAAGATAGGATTGTTAGCGTTAACTTAGCCGTACTATCACTTTGTGTTAGTCGTTGGCGGTGAGCGTATCGCACGAATGTAATTAGAATAGCGCAACGCACACGGTATTGTAATACAACTGTAACACGCGTGGCGCAAGAACTTAAAATATCCAACGTTTGAGTAAGAACTCATGCTTATAAACTTCGGAAAGTGTTTACTTAGTCTTACAAGAGGGCCTTTTACCTTCAAATCTAACAAAGAAGACTATTTTCGGGGATTTTTTTTGTAAAACCTATAACGGATTTTCAGACTAAATAGGATTTGTATAGACTAAATCTTTTGAAGTGAAAATTGAAGCAGTCTTCAAAAAGAAGTAAAAAACAAGAGTGGCATATTTTCATTCTTTTGGAATAAGATTTTACTCTTTTGGAGTGAGGTTTATACTCCAAAGGAATGAATCTCCCACTCCTTTTTTTTGGAATGAGACTTCCTTCCTTAGAGTAACTTTTACTTCAAAAGAGTGAAAATATTTTTACTCTTTTTTCAAAACTGACTCAATTCTCTGTCTTTTGGAGATTTCACTCTAAAACGTTTAGAAAGTACATACTGATCTTTAATGCAATATTTTTAGAACTTCGAAAAAGAAGAGAAAGTAAACAATTAACAAATGTCGCCGTTTAACTTTTACCAGTTAGGTTCATATTTATCAGGAAATTATTCGTATTGGTGACGGGACAAGTTGCCACAATTGGTAGTGTGATATCATCAGCGTGGTGAAGTCAGTGATGAAATAAGCACACCGTTGGCTGGAGAATGGAAAAAGTGGTTTTGACTCTCAAGAACTATGAAACGCTTTTAGAAAAATAGGTGTGGCTATCAAAGTAATAATACGTGCAATTATGATCAGAATTAATGTGTCCGCAGCAATAAGCGATGATTTATCCTATTTCTAATAAATTTTCTGAATGATTTCTTAGTATTATTATCTATTTTAAAAATAAATATAATCCTGTTACGTTGTAAAATAATCAGCATCCTGTTTTCAATTACGACAATTAGGGAAGAAATACAATTCCGTGAACCGTAAACACGAGAATTTATTTGTAATATATTCTTCGTTTTAATGTGTTGAATTAATTACTTACAGGAACCTTTAATTTATGGAACTATCGAGGTAATTTCAATTCAAGAATTATAAAAGTCGAAATATTATTTTGATCGATACTGAATCGATGATCAACCGCCATCCGATTAAAGTGCGCGATATAAGTCTCGCGAAAATGTCATGTCTGAGTTGATCGCCTTTCGCTTCTCACTTTCTAGAATGTATGAACGTACATACTAACTTTTCGCGGAATATATCATTTCGTATCAGCAAACTTCGAAGAAGCTCTTTTTCTTAAAAAAATTAAAAATGTCATAAAATATTAAAATTAACGATCTCATTTTCCTAGTAGCACAAAGATATAAACATTAAATATGAATTAGAATACCAATATTGATCCAATATTGTGAGGTAGATACCTAATCATATTCAAGAATATTGGATTAATATTGAGGATTCAATTTGTATTCGATGTTTAATATTGACTGTATATTGTCTTCCAATGTTTCCCCAATTTTAACTAATGTACAGCCGATGTACTGTCCTATTTTAGTATAAAAAGTGGTTCATGTGCACACTGTTGCAGTTGCAAGTGCCAATCACAGTGACTTCTGTGTAAGAAATTTTTTTAAATTTTATTTCTAGCGCTGTGATTGGCTTGTGCGTAATTAGCTCGTGTTTGCAATTGATATACATCTCTATGCTACCAGAGTTGATTGCATCAATGTGTTATTTATACAACTTGCGACATCTGCGACAAAAAGAAAAAATCGTTTCGCACATACAAAGTTGGTGTTGACATATTGTTTTTAATAAAATCATATGAACAATGTTGTTTTAACAAAAAAAATAAATAAATAAAATAATAAGCAGTGATTAATTTCTTAAGTAAGACATGGTAGTTCTCTCCCGTTTTCTCATCTCACAAGCTTGTAAATGAGACGAAGGTATAACGTTATTGTAACGCGGAAAAAAAACACTACTTATCTCGTTCCATAATGGAAAAGACGTGCAATGCATTAACGGCATTAACGTATATCTGCAAATAAAATCATCCGTCATTAAGCTTTCTAGCGAGCATAACATTGCGATAATTTATTTTTAGATTACCGGTGACGAGAGATACACGAGTACTGTAATTGACATCCATCAATTTGACTCCGAGACTCATTCCCGCATCGCAAATCGCAAGTGATTTCGCGTAATGAGTAATGCTTCGTCGTAGTGTAATTGTGACACCTAAGACATGTGGATTCAAAGAGACAATTTAATCGAGCAAGCGGTGCAAATCGCAGCCTACTCACATCCTCGATAAATTATTTTCATCGTCTTCTCAACTGATACATCTAAATCTATGGAAACATCGGTAAGCAAAGCAATAGTAGATGCAAATGTAAATAACACAAGGACGAAACGCATCGAGTTATGTAATTTCCTCTCGACATACTTTTATCTTTCCATGACTTCCATTTTAGGTATCAGCAACTGTAGAGATGTACGATTTTGCAATATATGTATATCACAAAAATCGTAATTTTTCTCCTGAATCGCAGTACGATGTATAATTAGATTTTAATCATGAAATCGATGTATACTATTTAAAGTTGCAAATACAGTATTATCCAAAATCGTATGAATATAATTAAGTATTTATTTAATACGTAATTGTACATCCAGGAAATTTTTTTTACTATTTTATGTGAGTCTCAAACAACTTTTTGTGATTTATTAAGGGTCCACAGAGGGGACAAAAATCGAACTTTTTTTAACTTCCTCCTTTCACGACAAAAGTGTCTGCGGAAAATGCTGAAGTTAGTATTGCGCTGTTCGTGCAATGAAAGTGGTCTAACAAGTCACCGACCATTGAAGTGTATATACACTTGGAACAACGTGTCCTGCACTTCCCTCTCCCTCCTCCCCTTTCCCACTCTTTCCCTCTCGCCCTCCTCTCTCGTTCACTATATAGCATTTACGACTATACGTATTTAAAGCGCTAAAGTGAAAGCGCTAGCAAGGGCACTATGTTTGGCAGCTGACCGACTTTTATTGCAAAATACTGTATCTCATTAATTTTACAAATGCTCGTGGCAAGGTGGATCATCGTGGAATCGTTATTGCTCGATGTGTGATAGAATTGGAAATCGAAATGCAATGGACATTCAAACGCAAAACGCAGACTCGGAGGTTTACCTTGATTAAATGCAGCGGTACGCGAAGCTATATCTGCCAGCAGCAAGACCGGACCATATAAGGTTCGCAATGTTCCGCATCCGTTAAGGACTAACCTTTCACGTCGCCTCGGTTTGCAAAACGCGCATTTTCCCTTATAATAAATCAAAGAGAAAAACTGAAGAACTCACGAAAACTTCGAAATGAATAATAACATCGATTAACTGCTGACTTTCTTATTACTTACGACCGATAACTACACAATCATTTACTTACGTAAGATTTTTGCTAATAATACAATGTACACCTATCAGTAACCAAAATTAGCACTAATATCATCTGAGATAATGTTTCTTAGGAAAGTAACGTAATTTGTTATATTTTACGTTAAAATATAAAGAAGAATTTTCGCTAATAATAGTGAATTAAAATTAGCTTCGACGTCATCATTGGAAGGAACCCTCATTGGTTGTCATATATATTTAATTAGTACACGAATTTAATAATAATACAACATACGCTACAAAATTGATGCTCAACAAAGCATGATCTCTGAAAGTCAAGTTGAATAAAAAATTGAAATGGCGGGAAATAAAGCGATTGACAGCCGTGATCCAACGCGGATCTAACGTAGATCGAAATCTCGTTGAAAAGCTTTTGAGATCGCCACCCATTACTCCCACCTTTGCTATTGCAGACACATTCTGCGATTCTTGTTAGTTAGTGTATGCAATCTCTGTTGCGGCGCGTGCTCCCGTAATATCGCGATTTAACACCGCGAGCAAAGTCGCGATTATGACACGGGGTATTTAAGTATTTAACGTAGACATAAAGCTAGAGAAATATTTCTAGAAGACTGCTGCTACGTGTAGGCGAAGAAAATTGCGTTCAGCTTAAGGGGATTCTCAAGTCTACGGATTAAACGCAATAGCTTTTGCGTAAAAATGACTTTTTCCTCTTTTACAGATTTAAAAATCCTTTTCCAGGATTAAACTATGCGTATTAATACGTGTCTGCGAGGTGGAGTTTATGCCGAGGATGAAAAAATTGTTTAAATTGAAAATTTAATTTCTTTACCACTTCTTCCTCCAATATGGCATCAGAGCTGTCAATATCTTAACTAACGTTGTTTTATATAAAAGCTTTGTAATTAGCTTTGTACTTATGAAATTGTGATCCACAGACTAGTAATTTACATGAACAGACAACGTGAAGTCGTAGAATTAGACTTATTAGACGTATAATTAAAACGCTATTGTTTTACGAGAATTTATATGTATATGTGTGCGAAAGATATTGATGTAGTAGTATATCAAGATGTGTCCATGTATCACATTTTGTCAATAAAATAGCAATCTCATCGGAGTTTGGACTTCTATTTTGGATCCCCTTAATTAAGATAACTTTCGAAACGAGCACCCACGCAAGTCCTTCGAATACGATCGTATTGATATCGATTGTATAATACATACCACGTGATTTCATCAATCTCTAATCGGAATGGATGAAACGTGAAATTTTGCTGAAATTTCCAAAACAATTTCAGCGAAATTGTTCCACCAACCAACGCCGGAAAGCAATCTCATAGCTATTGTGAGTACAGTATAACGTCTTTCAAAATCGCCGTAAAACAAGATCATGTTTAAATAATAAATATCTTACCATACTTTTGTTTACCTGCCATCTTTCAATACCACTATAAAAAAGTAGATATATATATATTATGTTATACAAATTTTAAATAACTCATTGTAAGTAATAAATTTCTTTCTTATCTCTACCTTCCTTTCGTATTTATAAAATAAAATTTGCCAATTAGTACGATATTTATTATCCAAAACAACATTCGTAATTTATTCTTTTTCTCTGTTTTATTATGATTATTTTCTACACTTTTATTTCCGATACTACTTCCGATATAATTAAAGAACTTTCGATAGTGGTATCAATATTTGATATGAGAGAAGAGAGAGACACAAATATTAGTCGAACATACTTCTCCGTTGACAATTAAAAAAAACTAAGTAACGATATGCACCGATGCGTGATTAAAGAGAAAAACTCGCACTCATATTTTATTTACTATATGCTGAAAATCGCTCGAAAGCTACCCAACAGCTTTTTCGAAAGACTTCCTTATTTGATAAATTTCTCATTAACGAACGCGTTGATCTGAGTATTAAAAATTTAATCTTAAACACCTATAGATGCGGTTCAACAACCATTCAGACACCTTTCTTATCGTGCATCAACGATTATATAATGCACCATATCTAAGCAGGACGCGTATACGACACGGCACAATAGAAAGTGTGTGTACATATTACAGATACCATTAATCCACACGCCTAAGATAAATATCCCAGTGTAACCGAACATATATCCATGTCCGGTATTGTCCGGATACCAATATAGATCAATATTCATAGTTCTTATTTTAAGACCATTTAAGTAATGTCTTAAGATGTTAATACAGTCCTCTGATTAGTTCGTGATGTCTTGATATTGTACTTAAGATGGATCCTGAATATAAGAATCGACTATGAATACTGACCTTACAACTTGTTCCATGAGAAAATGTACGGCATTAATTTTCTTATTAAAGATAAAACGGAAGAGTCCTAGATGCCTATTGGGCGAATACGACCTTAACTCAAAATGATTGACGATAATGTCATCTCTTTTATAACATTGGAAAGCTTGAAGCGTTCTCTTTTACGCAATATATAGGGTATGTTAAGTTAGCACCCCAACTATAGTACTCAGGAGTTCTGATTAGTGTTCCCATTTCCTTTTGACGAAACGAAGAGTTCCCTATAGTTAATAACAAGAGTTCCGCTATAAGGAACTATAAGGTGAAAAAGCGATTGGACCAACGGTTTGCAAGATACAGCGACATTTGTCAGAAGATAAACAATTCTTAAAGTGAGTATATCTCGGAAACCGTTGGTCCAATCGCTTTGAGACCTGATACTTTTCGACAGAACTCGTCGAGAACTGTCCGGAACTCCGATCAGAACTACTCGGTACTCCCAAAAAATGTTGACTTTAAATTTTTTTCGAGGTCCCACGTCGGAAAATTTTTTGAGAATACCGAGTAGTTCTGAGTAGCGTTTCTTATAGTTCTCAAGAACTACGAACAGAACTACTCAGTACTCCCAAACAATTTTTGATCAAAAATTTTTTTCCAAGTCCCACGTCGGAAAATTTTTTGAGAATACCGAGTAGTTCTGAGTAGCGTTTCTTATAGTTCTCGACAAGTTCTATCGAAAACTGTAAGGTGAAAAGAAAAAGCGATTGGACCAACGGTTTGTAAGATACAGCGACATTTGTTACATTTGTAAGATCATACAATTTTTAAATAAGTATATCTCAGAAACTGTTGGTCCAATCGCTTTGAGCCCTGATACTTTTCGACAGAACTCGTCGAGAACTGTCCAGAACTCCGAACAAAACTACTCGGTACTC